TAAAAGGTTAAAAAATATTTGATGAAATTTTGTGAAATTTAGACCGATCTATACAATAAAATTCAAAAAATGGTGTGGATATTAAAGTTTTCGAATAGAATATAACATTACACTAGGGAGCAGAGAATGAAAAAAATATCATTGTTAAGGTCAGTACAATTAGTTCAATACTTAAAGCTTAATATTATGATATAAACAATTGAAAAAAATTAAAAATTATCTGTTTACTTTTATTACAAATTTACAAATGGACTATTCTGGACTATTCTTATACATTTTATTATTTGTTGTTATTTTTTATCTTAATCATATTATAACAATAAAAACATTTTTCTTTATAAAAAATTAAAATCATTTTACCGAAAATTGTGAATTGTGTGTAAAGATTCTCAATTGATGTAAATGTATAAAAAAATCCCTAAATCCCATGAATGCTCTGAAGTATTGAGTGCGCTTAAAAATACTTCAGTATTCCATCTGCATCACGTTATGTGCATAAAAATTTTATTGTTTACCAACTAATCAATAAGATGTTCATTATTCAATATACACTGTTGTAACATTGAACAAAAATGCGGCAAGGAAGAAAAGTAATATTAAATTTTTAACAATAAAATGAAATACTATTTTGTATTTTGTGTTTTAATGAGGACTGACTGAGAATTATTTGCGATGTGGTAAATGAAACGGATTTGCACTTGTTGTTTCCAAATTTAAGCCAGCAGTGCGCGGGTTGTTCGAAGAGAGGAGTGAGGGATTAGGCTGCAATCTTTTATCCGAGCGGTGCATTTCTGCATCACAACCCCAGCGGCAATTCGCCCTTTCTCTCTTAACGCGCGTCACTCCCCTAGTATAGATTCGTCGGACGCGCTGAGAGACGTTCAGTCCATTATAACGTTGACTTGCAGCTAAATTGATATGCACTTTATTGAGGAAAAAACGCGCGGGGCCTCCCCCGTCGTATAGTCGTCGAGGGGTTTCGCGTCCATCAGTGTAATATCTCGTGTGTGTGTGTCATAAATAGAGTCACTCATTCTATTAAACCGAATTAACTAACGCGCGCGCGGCAACGGCGGATGGCATTAAAAGCCTTTTGATTTATTGGGGGCCGCTTTGCCCTCTATTATGCATGTTTGGCGCGCTGCACTAAAACCATGCTCTCGTTTGTGTTTTCCTGAGCGTCGTTCGCGACCAAACATAACCTCCGTTATTAATTAATACTCAAACCCCTTAGTGTGTCATAATGATCCTTACACGTGCTTGCTCACATAGTTAAGAGTGAATTATTACAGGAATAAAAAGTACTTTTAAAATAATAATAATATTATAAAAAATTATATAATATACACAGTAAAGATTGATATATTCTATCAGTCAAAGCGAACTCTTTTGCATAAAATAAAATAATAAAAAAAATCAAGGAAATATGAAACATTAATAGAAATACATTAAAATGGAATTTGGATTCATACTTTTTTCTTTAAATACGATGTCGATTATATACTTTGATAAATTTTATTCAATGCACCCTGTATAGTGCGTTTGTGATATTAAAATTTTTGTTTTTGGCAAAACCAATTTCCTCAAATTTCAAATTAACTTTACCTAGACTATCATAAATATTACTGCGCTCTTTGTATGGAGAAAGTCCTACGGAAATACACACCCAAAATTTTTTTACTGAAAACAATTCTCAAAAATTGCTGATTTCTTTACATAATTGGCTGAATGACATTAAATTTTTTAGCAAAAATAAAATTAATTAAAATTGCTAATTTTGATTGGAAAATTTATTCAGGTTAGAGAACTATTGATTAATTCTTGAGATTTATCATGCATTTGTGAGTTACTTTTTATTTTTTTTCAAATTGTACTTTTGGGCTTGCTCCTTGTGTGAAGGAAAGTTAACTCGTAAAAAAAAAACATAAAAAACGAATGCCTAATGATTATTTATAGTTGAATTTTTAAGTCATAGAAAGATCTATAAAATATTGAAAGCAAAATTCACACATTCAATGGAAGCTATTCTGTATACTCTTCATTATTAAATCATTCTGTTGTAGAAAAATTCCAAATTGTTTTGAAAACAGGAAGAGAGATTTATTGCGAATAAATGAGACCGGCGACGTGCGAAAGGGGCGTCGTTGCGGCTTATTGCTTCAGCAGTTCCATCGACAGAGATAACAGCACAGTGTATAGGGTGGTTCTCCCCAGGGCATCGCAATCGCCTGCTTGCTCGCGCGAACCTCCCCAGGGGCGGCAAATGGAGTAAGTAACACTCGCGGCGCGCACCCTTGTGCAACATCTTGCTCTGAAACGCGAAAACTCGTGTTCCAGCACAAAGCCCTGCTCTACTCTCGCCACTTGCCGCCGATTCAATTTTAAAATCTCCGAAATGCAATTCCACAGATTTATCGGAGCCCCCATAAAGGAAATCTGCCGATATTAAACTCAATAAAAAACGTTACATAATTTAAAGTTATATTGAAAAGTGACCGTTTGGTTTTGACAACCGAGACGTCTGCTTTTGCAAATCTTGAATGCAGCTTCTCTGGCGCCAAATTCGCCGCTTTTGGCTCTCAGTTGGCACTTTATACTTCTTCTTTGTCACAAGTTGTTGGCGCGCGACGACAAATTTCTCCAAGACTCTCTTTTGTTCTCTCTGTGCGTGCATATTTCGACCGATTCATATTCAGCAGAGCCCGGCAAAGAGCTCTCGCAGGCTTTTGTGCGCCACCGGATTAATCAATTTGCAGCCCTCTCCAGGCTCAGCGTATACAAATTGCACAGGCCCGTCATTTAGCCACGCACGCTGATATAATTAAGATCAAAATTTACGACCCAATAAAACGCAAACACTGAAAATGACGCTTGTGGATATTTTCAATCAATCGATTTGTTTTGCTCACAAGCATAAATCATTGCATGCGCTGCAAATAGCCCAACCAAACTTTTTTTATCAAACGTTTTTTTTCTTGAACAATCTGCTGGGTTAAAGTATATCGTGAATATGGTAAAAAAGTCTTTTTAACTAAAAAAAAGGCGACTTTGTAAGCCCAAACAAGTTTAAAAAGTCTCAATACTTGCATTTTTTTTTAACAAAATGTCTGAAAGGGATACTGTTCTTATTGTTAGCTATTTCTTTAAATGCTTAAAATGAAATTGAAAATTAGTTTTTTTTTTATAATTATGTAATTTATTACAGTATTGCTTGCAGTGACGATATAAACAGGGCACTTAGTGGAAAAATGATTTTTTTCCTTAAAAAATATTTGGGTTAAGTTAAAGCTAGAAAAAAATTATACTACTTGTGGTCAAACAGTTCAAATTACAGTAAAAATTAACAAGATTGTTAAAAAAGCGGATAAAAACATTTCAGAATTTGAATAAATATGTAAAAAATACCGTTATTCATTTTTAATATGTGTTAGGATTATTGTTGGTTACTTATATTATCGAAAGTTAAAGGTAAAAGAATCCCATCATAAAGATTTAGATTTAGCTACATTACTCAGCAATAAAGTGAAGAATAAACAATTTTATGAAATTTTTGCAGTTTGTTATGCAAAACATTTACATAATTGCTAATTGGTAAACGGATTTGTTATTTATTAACATTTTAATCACTTTAATTAAGTATTATTAAATAAACTATAATATTAAATTCATCAGCATAATAAAAAAGTAACAATAATAATAGAAAAAAATTTGAATTGCATATTAACATGAGTTTGGTTAAATTAGAATAAAAACAAATAATACTGGAATAAAGCCACAAATTTATCAGTCGGCAGCATTAATTTGATTTCTTATTGTTAGTTGGATCGCATGCAGTGTCAGAGAGGGTGTATCGATTTCGGAAATCGTTGGATCGCGCCCTGGCCTGCGGAACACTTGAGTGAGCGAGCGGGGCACAAACAGAACAGTTTGATTAAATTAGTTCCGGCGGTGCGATGTGTTGATGCGCCTCATTGTGGCTTTCGGGTCGAACACACACACACACACTCATTCGTATATCTGTGTCGTTTGTATCAAAGGCAGGGCACGCGTAATGTGATTGATCTCGAACCGTAAATACAGTGCGAGTCATAAACAGACACAGAGAGAGCAGCGACAGATGCACTGCTGGCCGAGATAGCCATCGTGGCGCGGGGGTGCACGCGCGTGGTTATGATATTATTTATTACATATTCTATTTGTGTTTCCCACGCAGCATCTCTCGTTCTCTATGTTGTATTAAGCTCTCTCTGCGTAAACACAAATCGAAAGCAGTAACGGAGATTGCTGAGAATCTGAATCATAAAAAAATTCCCTTTTATATAATTATTTTATTTTGAGCCATATTATGCGTTTATAAATTTTTGTGAGTTTAAATTAAATTAAAAATAATAATGAATGTATTGAATTAATAAACTTCAAAACTTAGCCCTTTATCAACTAAAGATTATTTTCTCCATTTTTAATCCATCCATTTTTTAATTATTTCAACAAGTCAATTAACACTTTAAAATCAATAAGGCGAACGTGATTCAATACAATCAACAGACCCAACATTATGTAGGGGAGTGAGTTTTTCTTGCCCTTTCCCTTTTGGGGCAGGAAAATCACACCCATGAACGGCCGAGCTCGAAATTTAGAGGCTTACCTTGTGACGAGTTTCACTTTTCTTCTAAATTTTCGTATATCAACCTGCTCTAAACGGACTTTGGAGGTTCTTGACGACTCGAGCACAGTTAAATTCACTATGAAAACCACTTTCAAGACTTTCAGCTTAGTATTTAATAAGATTTCTATTGAAATCCATTAAAAATGGCAAAAACAGATGTTTTTGTTGACAAAAACACCCTTCCCGCCGCATCTGGAGCCACCGCATGATTTTTCCTTCCAGAAAGTAACAGATGATTAGTATAAGTCACGTGATTTGTCAACCAATAGCGTTCATTTTTTACCAATTCAGTAATGAATCACGTCAAATTGTGAAAAACGCGTGTTTGTTCTTGTACAATGCCATTTTAACGCTATTTTCTAACAATTAACTTTTGAAAATGTCCTGAAAGTGATTGTAACGTGTGTCTAAAGTGTTGTGGGACGATTTTGTGCCATGAAAATTCGGTGGAAGTTGCGGAAATCGACGATAAATTCGCCAAAACTTGATTCACCGGACCAAGGCCTCGGAGCTGCATGGCGGCCGGGACAGGTGAGATTTTGTATGTATTTATTTTAAAATTATTTCTTGCCGTTGTGTCCAACAAGTCAATTTTCGGATATAAGGTTTCGCCAGAACCTTGTTCCGCATGGGGTGTTTTTTTCTACGCGACAATCGCAAGAAGCGCGCATGCCCCGAAGATTATGGCACAAGGGTACTATTATTGTTCCGCACTGATTTTTGTGTGGATGGCTGGAGGTGCGACTTAATGAAAATTACATAAATTTTAGGGTTTTTATCTTGTTTATGTTATGCTACATTCATCTGGACTGATCTGGAAAGATTTATTACAAAGGTAGACATTTGCGAAAATTCAATTTTGAATGTGCAAAAAAAGTTGAAATAAAAATCCAACCTGGAAAATCCCATTCCGAAATTTCGTTTCCAGGACTCTGGATTTTTCTTTCAATGAGAAATTAAAAAGCTCAAAATTCCTTTGTTAGAAAAAATTTGATTGAAATATTTGGCACCCGAGCTGAATTTTTGGGGTAATAGTTGGTCACCGAGAACCTTTTAGCAAGCTATATTTCTATATAAGTAAAATAATAGACATTAAAAAATAAATAATCTGAAAATTAATATTTTCTAATTTCTAAATTTCTTTGTTGATTTTGATATAAAAATAGCGGTGCGTTATTTTATTTCTCGGATGGCTTTTCTTTTAACCATCACAAGACTTTCGCGTCTATATTTGAAATCAACGACCAATAATAGCAGCGTGCAATATTCTGAAGAAAGTCTTTCTTATCGTGGACGCTTCATGCGACTGCACGAACAAAAATTTTATCGGATCGTAGCCTTTAACCATTTGTCACAGGTGAGATTTTCTCCTCGTGAGGCTTTTACATCCAAAAGGGTGAAAAAAACGATCCTCCTCGAGAGCGGGGCTTTCTATTATGTTAAAAATAATTCTTATTCTTCCTTCAATATAATAATATTCGTTTTTTACACCGCTTTTAACTGAGGTAATTTTGCTTTGTTGTTGTCCACACGTATCCTGCACCAGAAGTTTTGTAATTGAAAAAAGCACGCAAACATAGTTTAAATTTGGAAGCGAATTCCTTTTTTGTTTTGTTCACGTTTTCGGCTGTGGTGCGGGCAATTAAAGAGAAATAAATTACGTGCGCTGCAAAATCGCACTCAAAGGGGAAATCGCACACGGGTGCGCGGACGAGAAAGAGCCGCTTCCGCTCTCAAACTTTTTTGATGAAACAAACAGATCGGCGAATACGATAATTATGTTAACAAACGCTGAGAACGAGCACTAATGAGCGTGTTTACGACGACGTCCAACACGCAAAAACAGCCGCAAATATTTAATCTATAGAAATGCATTAACTGTTGGCTAAATTAAAACTCATAAAAGTATGGCTAATGAGGCAATTATTTATTTAATACCGCACAAGTCATGCCATAAATTACATGCCATCAGCACCAAATATTTGTGGTATTTCCAATTATTTTCATAAAATGTGATTCTAACAAGTGAAAAAAAAAAATAATAATAATAAAAGGTGTTTGAAAGAATCAACTTTTATAATTGAACTCTATATATACATCTGATTTTGAAGAAAATTCAAATAATTATCATTCATATTATTAAACTATTCAAACAGTCAGGCCGCATGCTTGATATATTACTTTCTATTTTGATGACGCCTCTCATGAGCTCATTATAATAAATGCAAACAATCTCTGGCACCCCGTTTTCTCGTCCATATCACGCATTTATCGTCGCATCTGCCAACCGATCCGAGGTACAGAGAGCTTTTCTCTCACTCCCTTTCATAATCTCATTTAAACCAATTTGCAGCTCTCAAAGTATATAATCCACTTATTGTTATGGGCTACTGAAAATTAATGATCGAATTTCTGTTTGTGATTCCTCAATTTCTGAAATAATAATAACCAATGCTGAAAAATATACTACACATGTAAAATGTGTCCGAGTTTTGTCCGCAGCTGGTTGACTTTGAGACGAGACTCTCTGTCAGATGGCAATCTTGGCGTGATAATCATCGGAATATTTCGCTCGCTGCCCCGAATAACAAAAAGGTGACATCTATAATGTGTATTATATCCGAGGGTCTATACACCCAAGAGGGTGGCTTTCCTACAACATCAGCGTCGCATTTGAATTGCCAACAATAATGGCAGAGGCCACTTATCAGATCGATCTGAGCCAGAAATAGAAAAAAATATATACAAGGGATAAATTGTGTCTCTCTTGGAGAATAGGAAAAAATACAGGCCCAATTGTATAACATAAAGCCAGAAGAAGGAAAAAAGCTACGGATGGGATTTCTTGTCATGTGATTTCATCCCCTCCTGGCATTGATATTTGATCTTATTTTAGACAAAACACCGTAGAGGGACATAGCTGAAGTATTTCTGTGTTGACAAATATGACTTTTTCAGTAGCCACAGTTAAAATTTGACAATTCTATGCAATTGAGCAGCAATTTAAATGATTTTGAAAAAGTATTTTATTATTATTTTTATTAGAAATTTTGGGCGTTTCATAATAAAATCATTACCGACCAATGAAGTTTGCCTTCAGTTTGCGGCCTAGCGGAAAACACGCAGAATGCAATTCTCGGCTCTCCGCAAATCGTTCCGCAAATAAACGGTTGCCAGACTTCTACCCTTTTTGCTCTCTCAATATATAAATTTCCACTTGAATCGCAGCTATACACAAGCTTGAAAACAATTTCATCTTCATCAAAATGCATTTTTGATTTTATTTTATCTTCTTGAAAACTGCGTAAATGCGTCGTTTTTCGAGCGCGCAGATGTCACATTTCAATAATTTAGGAAAAGCGCGCGACAGGGGAAAGCACTTGTTTGTGTATTCAGACAGATGTCCCAGAATTCATTTCCAGCAGCACAGAAATATAAGTCATGTCTTCTTTACGTATTCAAACATCACTGCTGTCGCGTCACTCTAGCTCAATTCCAAAAAAGGTTCTAAATAATTCACGTAAATGCTTCCATACGCCTACATTTTATTCGCAGCGGAAGATAAAAATAGTGAGCTTGGAAGTGCAAATAAAAAGATAAGATGTGATCATTTTTTTTTTTTTTATATCAGTTATCTATAATTTCATATAAAACTGATATCAGATTTCTTTTGACATTTTTATATGTTTATTCTAAAGCCTTTTCCAAATATTTAAGATTTTTTATAATATAAACCTTTCTTTATACTTTTTAAAGGGTAATGTACTTGTGAAAACCACTCTGTGCTAATAAAAAAATCGGGCAATGACTGTCAAAATCAATTAAGCTCTTCCTTCAGAAGTCCGAAAGGCAAACAGGCTGCGATCGTCGGCTGCAGTCGCGATAAAATAATATTAATAATGGCGAGTGTTTGGTGGAGCCACGCGACTCCCTTAATCCCAGCACGCCGCTATCAGTTGTGATAATATTGCAAGAGCTCTGCATGCGCTTTTCGTGGGAAGAGCACACACACAGCATCACCAATATCAAGTCAAGGGTTGTCGCAGGACACGTGACCAGCGACGAAAGTAAATCCGTCCGCAGCACGCCTCCTATATTTATTTATGAATAAACAAACACCACACATACATATTATACTCATGCATGCATAAATATCAAATCAAGAATGGAGTGTGAGAGGGAAATGATAGCGGGACACTCGTAATCCTTTGGCAAACAAATCCAAATCAACGTCCAACGGCTTAATTAAAATCAGATTGATCATCCACAACTTGCAAAATTGTTTAAAATTTTTAATTTCTTCATTTAAACACAAACATATATAAAAGTTATGTATTTTACTAATTGAATGTAGCATTTTACATTATATTATAAAGATTATTCACCATAAATGTAATATTTTTTTTTTAATGATCGCGAATTTTTTTTAAATTAATAAATATAATATTGATAAATATAATTATAATTATTTATGTTCATCATATTTTCATTAAATTTTTTATTAACTTGTAATAGTCAAGTCTGAATGATTTGTTTTTACAGCCAATAAATATTTAAAATATACAAATAAAAAACAACAAACTAACTCATCACACATGAACTGCGAGCTTTAAATTTAAAACTAAATTTAAATTTAATTAGAATAACTTTAGTTCTCACTATATTAAAATAAACAATATATCTAAATGTTAAAATTATTGTTTGGAGTATATGCATATTTTTAAACTAAGCTTTTCCAGCAATATAATTTTCATTAAAAAGGATTATATAAATTAAGAGTACAATTAGCCAATAAGTAACAGCAGAATTATTATGTTTTTGTTGCCTATAAACAAAAAATTAATGCTGAAACGACATTGGACTTCGGACTGATTAGACAAATATAATATGATGTGTTAATGGAGAATAAATATATAAATGAAACATCAAACTCTACAGATCATAGACCATGATCTGCAAATGAACATAATAAAAGTATAACACTTAAAAAAAGATTACAAATCCCCGTCAGTTACACAAAGTGCATATATCTCTCTCACAAAACAATTGGTACGATAATGCACTCGGGGGCGAAAAAATGAAAGATGAAATCGAACTACTCTGGCTTGTTATGCGGCCGCACGCGAATGAAACAAAAGGGTTGCGTGCTTTCTCTGGCGGCCGCCACGACGGTGAACAATAAAACACAGATCACAGCAGACAAAGAGAGAAAAACTGCAAAAGTCAAGTGCGCGGTGCAGAGCAAAAAGAACATCGGGGATCGAGTGAAATAAATAAAAGCGCGATTGCGCTCATCAGCATATATTACGGCGCGTGTCGCCGACGGGCCCAACAATGGAGCGTCTCAGCTGTTGGCCCTGCACGCCGCGAACGGAATAATGGCTTGAGCAGGGTGGTTTCTGCCCCATTAGCTCTGGCGCTCTGCCGATGACATTAGCGGAACAAAAATAATATGGTCGCGTCCACGCCTACACTTTTGATGCTAATCACTTCCCTCGCGCGCTCTCTTCCTCGTTTTACACCGACCGCACATAAAACAAC